ATCAGACTTCCCCTCCAAATCTGGGATGCAAATATGGGAAAGGCTGCTGCTTTTGGAGGAGGGAGGGATTTTGTGCCCCAGGGCAATAAGAAGCCAAGTTTCACTTTGTCTCTCTGCCCACAAAGGGTGGACCCCACCCATCCACTCTGGTGACAGTCCTCACAGCCGATGGCTGTTACCTAGTGCGGTAGAAATTCAGAGGAACCAGAAGTACGTCTTAAGGCTCTTGTGGTTCTCAAGGCTCTTTGGAGCAGGAGATGCCCTTTTGGCCTGCACACCTCTGCTCCAGAGTGGCTTCAAGTGGCTTCTCTCACCTCCACCTGAAGCTTAGCTTAAGAGCCCCTGATGTACCCCCACAGCTTTCTGGAATTTGCCTTTACAGACAGTAATTAGACACTTTCCAAATGGAACTCCTAGCCCCATGAGGGCCGTGTCTGTCCCCAGAGCCCAGCACAGTGCCTGACCCATAGTAGGTTCTCAATAAACCCTGTTGACCAGATAACCAGATGTGCCTGCAGCCCCAGTGGGTGTACCTTGTCAAACACTCTGTCATGCAGTGAGGAGGACGCCATCAGAGTTGTCTTGGTGAAGGTGACACCTTTGATGATGCCAAACACCAACACAGATGCCATGCTGGCTGCATATACCCATTGGTACACATGCTGCCCGATGTCTGCCAGGACCTTGCCCACCTCACACACACTCTTGTTGCCCTCGGGCCCACAGGTCATCTTTGGAGAAAAGCAAGAGAAGCACCAAGAATTGGTAAACTGCCTAGAGAATGGGAATTTTCTAGAGAATCTTTCCAAAGAGAAGAAACTAAAAGGAAGTACGTAATTGTTAAGTTGAGTCAGGTGGGTAAAGTCAGGTGGGTAAAGGCTCCCTTTGGGAGCCTCCAAGCTTTGTACGGTTCCTCCTCCTGGGTGGCTGTGACCTCAAAGGGCACCTGATTATAAACTTGGTACAGTCAGTGGGAAAAACAAAGCAGGTAAACCAGGAGGGTGCAGGGCAGCCGTCTCAGAAGCCATGTGAGCCTCAGGAGCCTCTGGTCAGAGGTGATGCTGGACCAGGAATAGCACAGACACAGACAGGATGGGGAATCAGGGACAGGCCTCCAACTTGCTGAGCTGCTCAGCAGCCACCACCAAGCCTTTGGGGAGACTCAGGGGCTTCTCTGTACAATGGGCCAGCTCCACAAGCCTTCCCTTTCCTTTTCCCAAGGGGCAGCTGGGAAGGCTCTGGTACACACTGCTCCTGGTGGGGAGGAGAGAGCCTGGCAAGCACCAGGTGCTGTTGGAAAATTCAAAGAAACCGTGGCTCCATCCCACCCAGTGAGAATGCACAATTTCGCCAGCATTTCTGGGGAGAGGCTATCTCCTCCTCCTGAGAAATTGGCAGTTTCATTTTTCCCTGGGTGGTGTGCTAAAAGTCAAGACTACCTCTGGGGAGCAAACAAGCATCTTTCTTCTAAATGCCATTTTGCTGATTACAGTAATAGCGAAAATGTAAACCAGAGGTGGCTGATGGATGAAGATCTGTAAAAGTAAAAGCATCCCTGAGGAGCGAACTACTAAAAGGCCCAGCTCAAAGAGGAGACTTTTCTGCACCTTACATTGTGCCCACAGTGTCCAGGAGATCAGAAGCAGGCACGTGGGTCTGCCACCATTGCTGCAAGTTCAATTAGCCAATGGCAATTGGCCTACTGGGCAGGCACCAAGCCTAGGAGGAGGCTCCACCTTGACTCTAAACCTCAGAGTCTCTAAGGAAAGGGCTCTTCATGAGTGAGTGAGGACTTGGGAGAGCACATGCATTCCAGACATGCCTATTTCTGCACAGAGCAGGCTATCCATTGGCCTCTCCCGTTGGGAATGGCCTCGGGAAGCTGTGCCAAATGGCCTCTCCCCTGCCCAAGTCTCCCCAATGTCTTCTTACTTTGGTTGTCATAGCAACAGAACTATACCAAAATGTAATTTTGGAGGATGGGCAGGCATCCCCACAGCAAAGTTCCAGAAAAGCTTTAAAACAATTGGCCAAAGGCTGGTAGAGCTTCCAGCAAGCTAGGGAAAAGAAAACTTCTTAGTCCTTCCCAGGACGGGTCCACAGAAAGGCCCCCAGTGGCCCTGTAGTATTTGCAGGGACTGAGTCCTCATAGAGGCAACTTGGAGAAGCAGAGCCATGCAGAACCTTCTGGCACCAGGCTGGAAGATGCCAGTTTCTCTTCAGAGGCAGGAAGACACACATCTGTGTCAGGCTTTCCTGGCCCTTCCCAGCCTCTCCTCAGAGGAGGCTTAGACAGAGGCTGCAGCACTGACCCTGTCCTGCACATGCTTGACCCCACAGACCTGCTGCATCTGATTGGCACAATCTTTTTTAGCCAACCCTTTAAAATCTGAATCTGACACATAAAAATCCAGGTGTGCTGCTTGTCTGAAAAAAATCAAAGGGGATTTCAGGAGTTTGAATCACATGAGGTAAGCTACTTATCCCAACTTCACGAAAAGGGTCAGAGGGATGAAAATGAGCTCATTGTGTGGTGTTGGGTGTAATCGGACCCTCCATCAGCAACCTTTTTGCTCCAAGACACAGACTCAACAATTCCCAGTGCCAAAGGGAAACTCACCTGTGAGCCCTTGTCTAACCAGAGACCCAGCCACCAGCTGCTGAAGGCAGAGCTGCCGATCATCAGGAGGAAGAGGGAAACTGTGAAGAAAGAAAGGAGGTACCCTGCAAGAGGAGGGGAGAGGTCCAAGGGGTTATGAATGTGGGAGGGTGGCATGGGCTCACCTTCCTCAGGGCCCAACCTTGATGGGAAATTCAAGGTCCGCAGGAAAAAGACCATCACCCTTGCAACCACCTTCTAGGCTGATGTAACTCATCTGGGTACTGAACCCCTGTACCCAACAGGGACATTTGTTCCATCTAGCTGAAAAATGGGTCCAAATTGTCAACATATTGGAAAAACCATACAAGTGATAGGTGTTCTTTAAAAACAAACCAACAAAAGCCCAGTCTTGTTGGAGAGACAGGGAATGAAACTACAGGTGCGTTTTGCACATCAGGATGGCAATCCTGTTAGGAAGGCAGGCAATGAGTTGATTGCTGCTACGCCCAGCTATTAGAGAGCGAGGTGATGTGAGAACCCTAGCTGGTGTGTGCCACTACTCACGCGGCTTCAATAAAATAGAGCCTGGCAGCTTTAATGGAGATAAAGAATGATTCCACTTAGGAGGCTATATTATCAGACTTCAGTTTTTAGGGGGAAAAAAATAAAAGCACTGATAAATGGCCCTCGCATAAACAGAGTTAATTGTTAAAGAAATCATAAAACGTGGACCTAACAGTTTAGGACAGGATTTTTAAAATGCAAATTAAATCAAGAAACACATTGGTTTATACCGAACCTCCAGAAGCCTTAATGTACGTGTGATATGTTTTCCAGGTCACGATTCCTTCCCGGGGGGATTCTGCCTGGACAAGTTGCTGCGCAGGAACTATGGAGACAAACACAGGTCTTGTGGCCCTCCCTGCTGGTGTGGCAGCCCTGAGAGGAGGGCACCCCCCTTCTGCATACTCCACACCACCACTAAGGGCACGTATGGCCCGTCCTTCCACCTGCACTTTGCTTTCAAGTTTCCCCCACACGTTTGCTCATTGTATTTCATTTGATTCTCATTACAGCCCTGGGAGGTAGGTGGCTTTTGGTCTTTTGAGAAATATTTATTAAGCTTCTACTATGCGCTTGGCCCTGGAGACACAGGGGTTGTCTTGGTCTATTTCTCCCAGAAGCAGATCTCAAGAAGAGGATATGAATACATGGAGCTTATTGGGGAGCTACAGGGAGTAGTGAAGGGAAGGCAATGATACAAGGCGTATCATACAGCCAGCGACCACGGTGGGTGACTGGAGCTCAGTCCCATGTAGTGAAATCTCAGAGCCAGTGTAGACATACACCTCAAAGTTTTTTCACATGAAGGATCTGGGATTTTTCTATACCATCTCTTACTCGCCACTGGGTGAGGGCTGCTCCCTGGGAATGTTAGTCTCCCAGCACTTCCAGCTTGACTGGTGGCTGGCAGCAACAGAGAGAGCCCCCAGGCAGGGGAATGCAGAGGTGGCAGTTGAGAATCATGCTGCATGCGTGGAAGTGGTAAGGCACCCACATCTGCTCAAGGGTGAACAGGAAGGAGGCTGTTTGGTCTTCTTGGAGCTCACGCCATGCAGAAGCAAGCCCAGAGTATCCTCCTAGGTCAGTGGCTACATGGACTCTTGAATCCCTCCACGTGGTTGTCCCAAGTCCTTTGCATTCCCCAAGGGGAAGAGAAAGTGACTGTCAAGTTCTTGTGGAAACACTCAGAGGCACGGGGGTGCTGGCTAAAGCAGCTCCCAGCGGCCGGTACGGAATGCACGTCTCTCTTCCCTCTCCTCTATTGAGAAGCATGAAAATGTCAACTCCAAAGCAAAATCATCAGCCATACCTGGCTTCTATAAACAGAGATGAATAGAGCTAGAAAAGGGGGCACCCTCACGTAGAGTCTTTACCCCCGGCCTGACAGGGAACGCTTTCATGCCTCCAGGGCACCTCCTTGAATAGAGCCACCGTGATGCTCTCTGCCCAGCAACCTGCACCGTTCTTTGAAAATGTTCAGCCTGGCTTTCGCACATGGTGTCCCCTCTAAGACTGAAAAAGGAGGGAGATGTGTGGGCAGAGCCTAATGAACTGCATCCTGGGGCTCAGAAGGGACTGGTCAAGTCCCCTTGTAGACTGCCACGCCTGCAGGGGTGTCGCTGATGCTCTTTTTGCTTTTGCTGCTCTTTAGAAAATGCTCTGGTGTCCAGCAAGGTGGACAGTGCTGGTTCCTGTACATCTTCCCTTCCTATGGCTTGCAGAGCATTTAACAGCCCATTTGTTTATCCTGAGGATCCAGTCACCCTCCAGAGTGAAATTTCACAATTTCATGTTCCTGTCTAGAGCAGGGAGGGTGGAGAGAAAATGAGGAGCAGGGATGATTCTCTCCACAGGACCCCAAATCCTGGGCAGCCTGGAGCTTTTCCTGAAAGGCCCAGAAGAGACATCCAAGTAATCTACTTCAGCCTAGGAAGCCTTTGGAGCAGTAAAAATATGTTGTCTTTCCAGCCTGCGTGCATTGCTCACAAGTGCCATTAAGGGTGCCAAATTTCATTGATTTGAGGACTCACATTTTAACACCTCTGAAATCTGGATGTGTGTTCCGTTCAATAGTATGTCATATTGTTTAGTTGGCAGAGGTTTTTTTTTTTTCTTTCTAAGTAGGAGGTAAAAATTAGTGCTCTTAAGAAATGGATGGCTTCTTAAATTTAATGAAATGAGCTGTTTCTGCAGCTACACACTGAGGAATAGAACTCTAACTTGGAGAGACAGCTTCACTGTGGGCACTTTGAGGAATGTTCACCCCTGCCCTGTCAGTGTCCAGCACAGGGCGGAACACACAGTAGGTGCTCCAGGAGTATGGAATGGATGAAGGGACGGGAGGCAGCAGTGTCTGAGGGGAAGAAGAGGCGATCGAGCAGCCTGGCCCTCTCCAGGCTCATCTCCACATCTCTCCTCCCTGCCCTCCTGGAATGTCCTAGTACCCTCAACCTCGAACCCTCCACCCTCTCCACCTTCTCACCACAGTGTCTCCAGCAAACTCCTGCACATCTCTGAAGGACCAGTTCAAAGGCTGCCTGCTCTGCAAAGCCCTCCCTGACTTGCTCATTATTCCCACCCCTACTCCCATTATTCTTATCACAATTCCCCACGATGATCCATCTACCTGCGACCCCCACCAGACCATAAGGTCCTGAGAACATGGGCGCCTGTTCCTTCTCTCCCCAGCCTCGCTTAGTACCTGACACATAGAAGGATGCTTAGACCTTATCTGTTGAAAGAATGTATAACCTTATCCCACCTCGATCCCTCTGCTGCTTCACAATCCTTTCTCAGTGCTCCCCATAAAGAGTGAGAAACAGCTCTTGTACTGCTTCTGCCTCTAATGAATCCCCGTGCATTGCTTTGCTCTCTGCAGCTAATAGCAATTATAATAGTAATAACTATTGAAGGTTACTATGTGTCAGGCACTGTGCTAATCACTTTAACTACAGTTTCTCATTTAACCTTTGCAAGAACCTATGAGGTTGATACTATTATTTCCTCATCTTACGGATTAGGAAACTAGAGTTCAGAGTGGTCAAGTATCTTGCTCAAGTTTGCAAAACCAGGAAGTAGTAGAGCCAGAATTTGCATGCAGGCATTTGAGCCCCAAGGCTCACACTCCAGTGGACCATACAGTTCCAGATGACATACACTATGCCTTACTGTTCTATCCCAAATGGTGGATACCCAACAAATACTCAAGAGTATATAACCAAGGGAATGAATGGTATATACCTTTTGTGTCTGCCAATTCTGAGTCTGTTCCAGGTTCTTTTCCTTCATCTTTCTCATCTCCTGGAGCCAAAACTAGGATGAGAAAGAAAGACAGATCTGTGTCCATTCATGAGTTCAGGGCAATAAGAAAGGTGGGATTCTAACTCTGATTGTACCAGCATCTTTGTCTCTATCGGCATGGCTCTCCTTGAGGGCTTCCATCATTGCTGCATTGTAAAGATGCTCGGGATCCTGGAGACAAAACAAAATTCCTTCTGAAAGCTAAATGACAGAACTTCTCCCAGGCCGGAAGTCATGATGGACGGTTCCCAATCTCTCCTGCCCAGATACATTAGAGTTACCTTGAATTGCAACCCTCGGAGGTTGTGAATCAGTTTTGCGTAGCGCCCTCTCTCTTCCATTAACTCCTTGTGGGTTCCCTTTTCACAGATCTCTCCATCTTCTAACAAAATGACTTCATCGCAAGACTCCAAGAACTGCAGAGATATTAACATGATTTACCATATACTTCTGCCTTGGTCAGAGAGACAAGAGCCCATGCCAAACCCCCATCCTGCAGGCTCATCTGGTACAGGAAGTCTCAACCTTGACATCCAACATTAGGGGCCAGATACTTCTTTGTTTTGGGAGGGGGGCTGTTCTGTGCATTGTATGATATTTAACAGCCTCCCAGCCTCTACCCACCAGATGCCAGTGGCACCCACTCCCCGAGTTGTGTCAAGTAAAAATGTCTCCAGACATTGCAAAATGTCCCCCATTTGAGAACCACTGACGTAGTAGCCATAGTTCTTATGAGTACAAAAGTCAGCCTTTGGCTGTCACAGTGAAGCACATTGAATCTTCCTTTGCATCTGCTTCTTAAATGAGTTGCCCTCCTAACAAATCTGATCACGGAGATTTGGAAAATTAAATTGACGGTCGTTGCAGCCAGGATTTGGTAGAGGGGGGAAATATGATCTCAGAGATGGCCTCCCTCTATTATAACACGACAAGACCCCTCATCATCCCCATTTAGTCCAGGAGAAGTAGACCACGGCATAGTCCCCAGCCAACAGGCCCCACTCCCTGGCCTGAGGAGTTCACACCAGCATTAGCTACGCTATAAAAATACAGCCACGTTTAATGTTGGCATCCCATATTTTGCCTGAAGCGCTTTTGTTTTTCTAATTTGAATTCCTTTCATTTCCATATTGCTCCTGAGATCAAAGAGTTCTGCTAAGAGGGGTTTCCTTTCATTTTTGAATGAGACAGAGTTCTCCCCACAGGATCAACATGTCTGAGGGCAGAAAGCCCCCTCTCTAGAGGTGGGCAAGATGCTGTGAGGTTTAAGATGGTTCAACTTAAAGAGGCTTTGCAGCCCTGGCTGGAGGTCTTCCCCTGTACTCCAGGGTTCATCCAAGGTCAACCTTTGATGCTCTTGATTAGAAGCCTGAAAAAAGTAGCTACGTTTGGTCATTGTACACCTGACGGGGTATGAGAGGAGAGGGTGGTGCCTCAAAGGCTAAATGATAGTAGTTCTGACAGTTTGGGCAGCTCTAGCCTTTATGTCTAGATTAACTGTCCAACTCCTGTCCACTCACTCAGACAGCTCAAGCAGGAACGACATGGCTTTTAATGTCCAGCTGAGACACGTTCTGACAGAGCCTTTTTCCAGAAAACCACCTCTCACCTTTATACAGCATCTTCTAACTTTTCAAAGCCTAATCTCATCTCTTATCTCTCAAACCATCACAACCCAGTAAAGAAAGCAGGTAGCCTTATCATCAGCTGATTTTCCAGATGGGGAAACTGAGGCACTGTAGGGCCTGTTATAGCCCCACAGCCTTTTCTGCCTGTGCCAGGACACACATTCCACCCCAGAAGCTCCTGGGGAAGCCCCCTCTGGCCAGCCAGCCCTCAGCTCACTGCAGCAAGAACTAAGCAAACTTTCCTCATTCATTTGTTTCTGTAAGTAAACAGAAGAGCAATCCTCCAACCCAAGCACTCAGAGGCATCTGGAATTGCCTGTGGGCTAGAGAGTAAAAGCAGCAGAGAAATGTTCTGGAAAAGCCGTGGGGCTCCAGTTCTGGGACTCTGAGTCCCCTCCTCCCAGACGAGTGACAGCTGGACCAAGATTCCAGTGCCATCTGGTGGCTGCCTGCATTTTTCAAAACACAGAAAGTGAGATAAAATGACCTTGGGAAAGATACACTCTTTGAGGAAACTGAGGCCCAGAAAAAAGATAGTTCTGGCCTAGGGTCATACTGCTGGTTAGTGAGTTTCAAAGACTGAACTAGAACTGAGTCTGTGATTTTTCTCTTCCATGAGGACTCCTGGAGGAACAGCTCTGACCCACATTTGTCAAGTGTTAGGCATCCCCGTCTGGATCCTCAGGACCCCCCAGGACAGCCCTCCCTACTGCAGGTTGTCTCCAGGGACTGGACATTCACTGCGCAGAGCTGTGGTTACCACGTTTGGCTCCGTGGCTGGGCCACAGCCCGTTCCCAGTCTCTTGTGGGGGTCCAAAAGAAATCCTGCCTTCTCCTCCACTCTGAGTCCTGGCCAGCAGAGGAACTAGGAGCTCTTGCCCACCCCAGCACAACTGAGGTGATCGAGCACACTCAGGAAACCCAGACAGCCCTCACATGCGAAATTCAAATGCTCGGAGCCTATTCTGGGGCAGAGCTGTAGCCCTGGGCAAGGGTCGTCTCAAGCTAGGGGTAGCATCAGAGTTCTGGGAAAGCCTAGTTTTCCTGTGTCTTTCAGAAACTCCTCTCCCTTCAGCCCTGTCCTCCTGGCCACTGCTAGAGGACCCTAAAATGCTGGCTGCAGCAACCTGTAGCCATGCAACCTCCTTTGCTGCTGTTACCCCTCCTTCCTACCCCAGCTTGACTTACCCTTGCAAGGCAATGAGACTTCTTCCTGTCCCCAGACCAGGCCCTTATTTAACATGCTCCCTGCAGGGGGCAGGAGAGTAAAGAAGACAGGACCTTTGCCCCCCTGCCCCAACAGACCTCTCAATGTAGGTCAGTCCTGTGGGACATCTCCGCAGGCAGGAGACACACACACATGCACACACACAGACACACACACACCCTGCACATCTCTGGAGATTCACTTTGGAGAGGGGAGAGAGAGACAGTGCGGGAGAGGGAAATTCATCTCGTCTCAGCGTGGAGGAGGGTCTCAGATTCCCACCAGGCTTTCAGGACTTCTTATGTGGGACTGATGCAGCAAGGACTGTCCCCACACTGCTAAATTCTTAAGCTCACTAAAGGTAAGCCCAGTCACTTTCTTCAGTGAGACTCATGCTCCTAAGCCTAAGATTGTGGCTCTGAGCAGGGAAGAGCTTCCCCAGAGCCTTAACACCAAAGTCCTGGCCTCCAGCCCCTTTCCCCTGGGATGTGATGCCTGGGGCATCTGGGCCCCTCGTCCAAGGGGTCCACTCCCACCCCCACCCCCCTCCATCCAAACCAAGGTGCCCCTGGGCCTAGGCCTGCCCAGGCCTTGCTGGAAGAAGGGTGAGGTCTGAACTGTTGCCCTCAACTCCGCACCTGCTCACTACCAGGAGACCCAAACTGGAGGATCGGTGTCCCATATCCACCCCACAGGTAGGGCTCAGTTGCTCCTGGAGAGTCTGCATTCTCATGGAGGGAGGTCTTGGCCCCACTGAACCCAAAGATAGAGCCAATAGGGATGGTGCGCATAGAGGAGCAGGTGGGGCCACGTGGAAGCCAGGATGGCTGGGGGTCATGAGTGTCTCCTGCACCCCCTACTCCCTCCCCACCCTGCCCAGGTGATGGGAGAGGCAGGTTTAGGCAGAAGAGGAGACCCTGTGGGTATCAGGTGCCATCCCATGACCTTGTGGACCCGGCCTGTCCCAGTCACCTGCAGCTGGTGGGTCACCAGGACAACGGTCTTCCCCCTGAGCGTCTTCTTAATGCACTCTTCAAAGATGTGCTTCCCCACGTGCGCGTCCACGGCCGACAGGGGGTCGTCCAGCAGGTAGAGCTGACGGTTGGAGTAGATGGCGCGAGCCAGACTAATCCTCTGCCTCTGTCCCCCGGAGAGGTTGAGACCCCGCTCCCCGATCTGCAGACAGGGACAATGCCACTGCCCATCATTGGGCCCCACCCACCACCCTGCAGTTCTCAGAGGACAGGAGCTTCTGGAAGCTCCTTGCGACTCAGGGGAAAGACAAGCAGACTGGCCATCACTGTGTCCAAGCTCCTCGAGCCCTTACAGGGACCCCCGACCACACTAGACATCATGGCGAGTGGAAGAGACCCACTTCTCTCCCTTCTCCAGGAAGCCTGGGGTGCAGTGGCAACTAGGTGCTGGGTGAGGGGTGCCTGCCTCGTACCACCCCCATCCCAGTGCACACCTGACAGGGCGGGCTTCGTGCTGAGCATGAACACTGAAGGGAATTGTGTGAGCAGAAAGCCCTGGGAGGATGCGCCAGTGGACGGGAGGGAGAAGTGGCTGGGAGCAGATGGAAAGGGAGCTCTGTTCGTTTCCTTGTGGATCAACTCTCCCTCCACCCCCGCCAGGCAACCCTAAGCTCTGTGAAGAGAGGAGGCCCATCGCCTTGTCCATCATCACGTCCCTAAGGCCTGGCACCATGCCTGGCACACAGCAGGTGGCCAGCAAATATTTCCAGAAAGGATGAAAAGCTCAGGTTGCCTCCTTCAGGTGATTCTATCCAACTGAGCCCAAAGCAAACCCGCATTATGTTCAGCCAGGTGTTGAGCTGGGCGCTGGACACGGGACACATGAAGTGGGCAAGAACAGTCCCCTACCTCCTGGGAGCTCACATTTTAGCCAGGGGGGTTAGCCATATATACGTTATAATGCTATGAAGCAGAATTTAACAAGTACCAAGTCACAGAAACTGAGTACTTTGGGGCAAGTTACTTCAGACTGTGTGACTTGGGAAAGTCTCCTTCAAGGAGGTGGATTTGGGATTGGAAACTCAAAGAGTGGTAGCAACAGCAGGAGCAGACACAGAGAGGCTAGGAGGAGAGTGGACACTTTGGCGGGCAGGTGGGTGTAGGTGAGCACAGCCTGGAAGGGTAGGCCAGGGCTGCAGAGTGGGAGCCCTCAAACGCAGACCGGGAAGGCTGTGGTGGCTATTTTCTCGACACAGGCAGACAGAAGGCACTAGTGGAGAAAGACAGTGAGCTCTGAACTGGTCTTCCTTCCAACAGCTTCTGATCTCTTCTGGGGCCTCCTGGACAAAGCAGGGAAGACTGTGCAGAGGGCACAAGTGGGATGGGGAGACAGCAAGGTGGCGAGGGGACTCCCCTGGCTCACTCAAATTGGCAGGCTCGGCCCAGGACCAAGCCAGCACTTTGGAGGTGACCACTGCACTCCTGGGCTGGGCGAAGTTGGTAAGACCAGAAGGGGCCCTTGAGACTCCAGCCACATGCAGCACCCCTGGGCCCCTGCTTTGGAGGACGGCCCTTGAGGTGAGGAAGCAGTTTTCACCAGAAACTTTTCCTGAGATGATATGCAGATGGGGAGTGGCCCCAGGAAGTGGCCACGCTGAGCCAAACACAAGTGGGCTTGGTGCCACGTCCACTGTCCACTGTGATGTCCACCCAGTATAAGGCCAGATGGAGAATTCAGGATGGGTAGGGCCTGAACTTTGCCTGCATTTCCTGGGACCTTTCTGTCCTCTGGGCATCTGGACGTGGAGCCTGCTAGTGTGGTCCCTCTGGACCTGGGCAAACGGGCTGCCATGCAGCTGTGATGAGGTTGAGCCAGCTCTACTCACCTCGGTCAGGTCTCCATAAGGGAGTCTGCTCAGGTCCTTCTGGAGGCCACAGACGCGAACTGTGTGCTGATACCTGTGGGTGCAAAGGTCAGGAGTCGGCGCCATGAGAAGCTGCTGCGGGCTCCTCTGTGGGCACTACTGGTGATGCGTGACAAGGCGAGGAGGTGGCCGGCACCATGTTCCAAGCTCCCTGGACAGTTGTTCTGTCTTTGAAGCCCAAAGCCGGTGTCCCCTTGATCCCTGAGACCCCTCCCCAACCTGATACAGCGATGACTCAGGCACAGCTCCACCCCTCACAGGGCTCCTGCCAATTAGGGGAGATGACATCAGGGTACAGGAAACCCCTGAAGGGAACACTCAGGCACTCTGGCACTGCTCATGGGCAGTCAGAAAAGGGGGTCGGTCACCCATGTGGGCAGAGTCCCTGGGGACAGCTTCCTAGAAGAGTGTGGGTGGGGGAAGGACAACCGCATAGGGCTGGG